AATGGCTCTGTTCAGTTTCTTTCTCACTGTGGCCTTTGTTTTGTTGGTGATATGCAACATATGTTTAAGGGCACATTTGCGTCCTACCATTGGCATTGGAATATGATCTCAGTTCTTGGAAATTTGGGACTCATTAAATGGAATGATCGTTTTCTTTAAGTTATTATGTAGTTTATCAATTTCACAACGAACCAATCTTGAGCCTGGGTCATGAATATATAGGAAATAACAAGAATGGAAAGAGCTAAGATTTTGCTAAATGGTCTGTGAACCAAAATCACTCACCTCGAACGTTTTGCCTCTCCATTAATTTTCTCTTACAACATTTCTTACTTAAACTAATTTGTTTCGTAGGTTGCGCTCTCTCTCTCTCTCTCTCATGTTGTCTTGCGTAATAATGGAATCATAATTTGCATGCGCATTAGTTAGCCTTTTTCTTTTTACGTATGCGCATAAATTCTTATTCATATATGGTCAACAAATCATCAAGTAAATAACCTAATATATAGAATGATGTACCCTTTTACCTTTAAAAAATGAACTTTGAGACTAAGTTCAACTTAGTAAGTGGTTAGTATTTATTAGTCTAAACTCCATGTTATTGGTGGACAATTGATGGGTGCAACAAAAGCTACCAAATCTAGTATGTAACAACTAGCTTTGTTCAACTACTCAAGAAATTTTCACATGATGTTGTAAGCTTTACTTATATAAATAAACTATAAATACAAACAAATTAAAACACACACAACACAGAGTGCTCCTTGCATGCATGGACACTATGGCTTGGATGAATAATTGCAGTTCAATCCATAGTACAAGGGTCTGCCCAATCTTCCCTTCTGATGCTATAAAGAGTGAAAGCTTTCGATCCATCAATGGAGTCTACTATAATATTGGAGATTATGCATATTGGCAGGGTAGAAGGGCATTTCTCACTAGCTACAATTTTGCTCGAAAGAATAGATCCAAGGAAAGGTTGAAGAAGTTCTTCAAAAGAGTTAGTAAGATGGCCATGTCTGTATATTTTGGAGTTATTGAAGAGTTCTCAAAGAGGAAGATTAGTATTAAGGTTTACAAGTTGACATTGGTTTGGCCAAGACTTTTTATTGCCAGATGCTATATATGTGCCTTGTCCCTATAAATACTAAATACTCGTACACTTGATGTTATCCAAAGGTCGAGAAAGTTATCTGAATCCACATATAGAAAACAAATTAACTCGCATTATGTAATATGTAATATGCTGAAATATTGTCCTTTTTACTTTTCACGTGAGGCAAAATTTCATATGCAATGTTTAATTATAGCTTGATTTTCAACTTATTGCTTGCATTGTTGTGCTTGTTACATTACATTTAACTTTCAACCTGTCCTAACAAGTGAACAAACATCATCCTACCTTTTTCTTCCCCTTAATTCCTCCTCCTATGGCGTCCATAATAATCACAACCGCTGCTCATTTTGTAATGTGACACAAACTCATAATTCTAGTAAAGGACTATCTATGCAAATTTCTCCATGTTCTCAACAGAACATTTTAATGGTTAAGAGGTAATAATTCGAATTATAATGTCATAAGTTTGATTTCAATAACATATAAAAAAAGCACGAGAGAACCAAACTGAGAGAAGAAAGAAAATCGAATGGGTGACGGTGCATGAACGAGTTGTGACTTTAACAATGTTGTTCAAATTAATCAGTAAATTTATTCCTATGAGATACTTAATACAGTATATGGTTATTTCTATTAGATACTTAAGACAGTATATGGTTGGTTATAACTTATAAATGGTCATAAGGAAAAGAAACTTGATAAAGTTGGAGAAAAAAATAATATTAACCATCAATTTCAATTAATCAATGGACGTACGTATAAATTAAACCACTATCTCTGGTTGCGATCCCCGAGAATCACCAGATTTTTTTTTATGAGACTATATCCCAATAGATAAAACATTTTTTGCTTCTGGATTTATAAAATTTTAATAAATGTTATTTGTAAAGATAATGTTTTTTTTCATGGGCTCCTACAAGTTATATATTCTAATCCGTTCTCCACTTTGATAGTCAATGATCTTTATTTTTGTTTCTATTATTTTATATTTATTCTGGCTGAAAATTTCGTAATAATTATTCTACTTGATTATTTTCTCATGCATTTAAATCAACTAGTCTTAGAGTACACGCCGCGTGTGTATTTTATATCAATAAATATAAACTTTATAAAAATTACATAGATATTATTTACAAAAGTGTCTGAATTATTAAATAAAAATTAAAAAAAAATCCAAGTTCCTGAAAAAATGATGAACATTAATCACATTTATCTAACTCGATAAAGAACAACTCAGCTCTACAAAATACCTTATTATTTGGACTTTCGTTAGGGATAGATTTATCATGATAAAGAGATAGATTCAATCATTATCATGATAATTAAAGAGATTATACATACTAATAAATACCATTACTTCCTTAGGTCAATAATGATGGGTATATCAGTTAGCCACATATCCCTAATTTGATATTTATTTCAATTACATGTAATATTTATCCGCTAGATAGATTTATCGACACTATAAAAAATTACGAAACTTTATCACAACACTTTTGGAAAGTGTTTTATTAACATTTTTTTAAAGAATAGTTTGAAATAGCTAATATTTTTAACATTATTCACCTTAAATCTTTAAATTTTTAGCTAATTTGAAAATAATTGTGAGCTCCTGAGTTTTACTTTAAGTTTTCATCTCTTGGTATCTTGAAATGGAAGACTTTTAATGTCACCTTAATTATTATTCCAGGTGAAATAATAATTCCTTATCTATTCTTGTGAAAATTAACTTAATCAACTTATATAAATAATATTATTGGGATTACATTCCTAAATATTAGGAGTTCTTATATAGTTCAAATAAAAAAAATTAATAATCAAAATTTTAGATAATTTTAATGTCCTAAATATAAAAAATATTAATTAAACATTAATTTTATTCAATGTAAAATTTATTTTGTTTGATGAAAAGGTCGACTAATTTTGTGTTTAAGTTTCGTACTTTTATAATAGTCTGGATTGATTGAAGAAGACAAAATTAAGTGAAATGTTATTTTCCTATATGTTTAATAGTTTTTAATTTTTGTTTACCACTTAATTACGATAAAATTAATATACATTGTTGCAAATACTAAGTAAAAAAATGCTTCTAAAAACTTACTCATTGTAAAGTACAGTCATCTTCCAATTGCCATATAGAAATTACTCGAAAAGAACGGGTACAAAATTTGTACTAATGATCTAAATAATTGACTTCTTAATCATTTATTTAAGGCAAAAAAAAATTAGGAACCTAGTTTAAATAAGTAAAGATTTAATAATCAAATTTCAATGAATTTTTAGGTCCTAAATATTAGGATAATCAAATGACTATTTTGTCTAATGTGAATTATATTTTAAAGGAGTAAAAAAGGCGAATGATATTTTGTTAAAGGCCTTTCGTGCTTTTAATATAGGACTAGTCTTTGTGTACGTGCGTTGCACGTGAGCCTCACGTCAATCAATAAAAAATTGTATAGAAGAAACACAACTCAAATAAATTTTCTTCTAAAATAGGCTATTATATTCATATATAATACTATGAAAGGAATTACAATAATGTTACATTGTTGAAATAAAAAAATTATATTAGATAATAAAATATTAATTGATTTTAAAGTCCAATATAAAGATTTAACGAATATTTTAGGTGATTTCAAGGGAGGGATAACTTCTAAAGTATTACCCATTATTTCACGTATAAACTTTGCACTCCTTATCCATGATAAAAATTTGCTTGGTTTAACAACTTCTACAAGAACTAAACTTGGAAAAATAATAATGTTGCTCATTTTTGTTGTTAATATGCTTACAACTTCAAGAAGATCTAAACGCGGATAAATAATATTATTCATTTAACACTCCAAGTATTAGAATTTCTTACAAAGTCCTAAATATTAGGAATGCAACCAATTATAAAATCCTACATATTAGGAATGTAATTAAATTATAATTTTGTCCAATATGAATTATGTATTTAAAAGATAAAAAAGACAAACAATACGTTCTTTCCAAGCTAATGAACATATTTTTTTGGTCGGAAGCTAATGAATATAATTAGTTTAGGTAGTAATATAGCCTATCTATAACAACACTCCCGTTCTAAAGAAATATATACACGGATTACATTTATCAAATAAATAACTGTTTATTCAAAAATATAAAAAGGAGAATGGCACCTACCCCTATACGACTATTTGAAAGAAAACTCTACAATTAGCTACTAATCATGGAAACTGCTCTCTGAATATAAGTTTGGCCAATTAAAATTTGAAAACAAAATAAAACAAAAGATACTTCTGTGGACATTTGGAAGAACCTGAGCTAGAAGGCCTTTCGGACATGCAAAACTCATATGCTTCTTTTTTTGCACCAGCCTTGTTATGTTGTTGAGGGTTCCAGACTATAAATCTTTGACTTTTTTCTGCAATCATGAACTTTCTTGGGGGAATTATGCTTTGGTGATTTGTTAGGGTATTTCGAAGCTACTTTTTATTTTCGTGGGATTTAATGACCTTATATATTAGATTCCTACATAGTCTAAATAAGGAAATTAGATTTTAATAGTTAAAATTTAGTTGATTTAATACTCCTAATAAGTAATTAAATGGCTATTTTGTCTAATATAAAATTTATTTTAAAGGGTAAAAAAGGCGAGCGATATTTCGCTAAGGGCCTTCGTGCTTTTAGTATAATAATATAGATATAGATAGATATATTAATTTGTAAAACATGCACTATATATTTCATGTTACATTTCCTTGATTAAAAAAAGAAAAAAAAGAAGAAGAAGAAATGGAGCTGAGATGCACCAGGTGTAAGAAATCCGGGCAATCTAAGAATTATCTATAAAGTGGGGGTGGGGGGTGCAAAAATGCAATTTTCTCAAACTTAAACATCCCCTGATATCGTCTTCCAACTCTTAACACTGAATCTGAATCCCAACCTAAACCAATAAATTCCCCACAATTTGATACCTTAAAGTTTAAGCAACATAATCCTAAATTATGCAGCCATTGATCAGCCTAGAAATATAGCAGCAGAGTTCTTTCGATTTTTTTTAAGAAAAAAATGGTGAACAGAGGCCATAGGACAACAAGAAGAACATCTCATTTCTCAATCACTCTCTACATTTTCCTCCTCTTTGTTTTCTCAATATTCGTTTTCTTTTTCTATTCTAAAGATATATCAGAAGATGATAGAAATCCTCTCGTAATATCGGAGAAGAAGGAGCCCGAATCCGAAGAGGTCTGTTATATACTTTTTATTCATTTATTTGTATTTGTGAATTGGGTGATATGTGCTGATTTTTTGTAATTTGGACGACAAAGCATCTGGATAATTTGTTAAATTTCTGAGAATTTTAGCTTCTTATTTGGATTGAAATTGGTGGTCAGCATTTTGGAGCTAAATTACATTTGTTTGACACAGGAAAACAAAATATGACAATAATAATAGAAATAGAGGCACAAGGATTTAGGTGGTTCAGCCAATTATGTTTAATCAAACTGTATCTTAACACTTCATTCTCTAATATTTTCTTATAAAGTTCATTCTCAGCCAATTATGTTGCAAACAGTAAGCTAGTAGTTGTGAACCAATTTACTCTGAGTAGTAATCAAGTTGCAAATCAACTTATTTAATATTGAATCAAGTTGCTAGCCAACTTTCTGCCAGTCAACTTACCCTAAGTCGCAAGTGATGTTGCAAGCTAACTTAGTTCAAGTGCTAAGTAAGTTGCAAGCTAACATTCTAATTCATTTGTTTTGTCCAGATTACATTATTTATGTATGTATACAATGCTGCAGACACTTTAAGACTTAGAAAACCTTACCTGTCTCTGTTGAAATTCTTTAGTTTCTCAGTTGGTTTCGCTTGTATGGGATACCTTTGAAATGCTTTCTCCTGAGTTTGTTATCTTGCGACTCGTCATAAAAAATGAAAGTTTGTTATCTTCCTACTTAATGCTTTTGTGGATTGACATAGTTTTTGGACCTCCTAGTTTGGATTAACATGGGTAAACGATATAAAAGAAAAAAACAAGGCAAAATGGGCATATTTTGAACTTAAAGAAAGAGGCCTAATGGTGATAACCTAACATTGAACTGAAATTGGTAGTATGTAAAGAGGCCTTGTGGCAATTATGCTTATCTTGTGTCTTCACATTTCAATTTGGTAAGAGCTTTCTGATTCAGTATTTGCTTGCTTTCCTTGGCACAACACAACAAGAAATTTGAATTATCAACAAGAAAGTGTAGGGGCAAGAAAGGCAATGAATATTCAATCAATCAGTTACGCCTCAATTCCAAATTTGTTATGATGAACTGGATGAATAGTTTTAATCCATTATGTTCAGTTTCCATAGGATTCATCATGATTAAACTATTTTTATGCTGGCCATCGACCTATCACAATTCTTTTTATCCAACAATATGTTGGATAGATTTCAAGTTTTATTTCTGTTTGTTATATGAAGTGAAATTTCAATTTGTTTTAAGAAAAAAGAAAGAAAAAGAGACGACATTTGTGATAGTAAACAAGGGCTTTAGTTCCTAAATTTTTTCAAATTATAGGATGAGCTTTACTCCTTAAATTTTATGAAATAGTGTGAACAGGTTTTGGTACCTTAAAAGGGTAAAATAAGTGCCTTATGTGTGATCCTTTATTTTGTATAGGCGAAATACATAAACGACCCCTTTATTTTGTAAGTTCTCTTTTTTTGGTATACGGCTTGTATAAGGGGTTAGTTCCTAATTGTTAATAAAATTATTTACCTTATCAAAAGAAAAGTTGTCCTCAACGATCAGATAGATCGGTCAAAACATTCAAGTGGCTTAAGTGTATCACATAAACACCCGGGTGCAGCAAAACATCTGCGTGAGTTACACTTGCCAATGACATATCAAATGAACCAATTAAAGAACGACAAGTATAATTTGTAATTAATAAAACAAAAAAACAACCAAAAAATTAATCCAAAATTCCGGCGAGTTCCCAGCCTGCAAAAATGGAGTCTCACCGGACTGACCAAAAATTTGAATTGACAGAGCTCCTACAACCCAAGTACGCAAGAGATTACACGAGCAAAAGCTCTCTGATCTCGTCAATGCCCATATGTCATTGTCAAATTTTCTTGGTGGATATATGAATGCTCACAGAACAACTACATACACAAATGAGGCGAGCTGAGATGAATACATCATAGTATCCCCACAAATAAATAAAATATCCAGTAGAAATAATAACAAATTGGAAATAACAAAATTAAATCAACAGCGGTCAAGCCCGTAAAGGTCAGAGATTTAAAGCATCAAAGCAGCAGTAGACAACTACAACAACATATCCGGCGACAACGACTCTGTTCCTGGCCAACAAGTCCCCCCACTGTCACCTTCAGTTCCCACCTCCATTTTCCACCCTAATTAATCCTCTTTCAAATCTATTTTCCTTTTCTTTATAGCTTATAATCAGACACTGTGAGAATGATTAGATGACAAAACTTGGTTTCATAAATGACAAAAATAGATTTCGTAACTTATAATCGAAGGTGAAAAAATTGAAGAAGGAGAAGTGTGAAAATGAAGGTAAGTGGGGTTCACATAAAGTCAGGTTAATTTTAAAAAAGAAAAAGAAAAAAACTTAATTTTAAGGGTTTCACTCAAATGTGAATATAAAGCACACTTTGCCATGTCAGCGTGAGGGGTTCACGAGGTCTCACCTCAGTCGGGAAGAAGTGTGTAATTGGTAATACGGTCAGTTGAGGTGTCTATTTGGTCGTTGTGGACAACATATAGCTATAAAGGGGCCATTTATGTATTTCACCTTTTGTATATTTGTGGCTTGTCTTAATTGTACTTGTTTAAGTGCTTCCTGCAAAATAAGCAATTGAAGAATGATAAGGAGCCTTTTGGAAAAGAAAGGAAAATAACAAGTTTGTGTCATGCTATTGGTTTTTATCTCTCTCTTCCATTTCTATGATTTTTCTTTGTACTGGGATAGTTGCTGAGAAATTTCGTTTCAGGATTCATCAGCATTATGGTAGCTAGATATTTCAAGTATACATGTTTGTAGTTCTAAGGAATGAGTTTTTAATTAGTTTCCACATGTATTTTGCTTTGGGATTGTTTCGTCCTTTCCTCTGCTTATCAGTTTTATTTCTTTTAGGGTCAACCCTATTCAACTTATTTCCTCCAACTTATATACAAAGAGTGAATATGTAAATTATGTACTTGTATAACAGATAAATTAGAATCTTAAGGAATATTTTTCATTTGTCCTTGGTGTAACTTGTCCGGCCAGTTTGAAAATGCTTGGAGTTGTGTCTGCGTAGTGTTTGGTGTCTTGCTTGCATCAGTGACTAGCTCTCGTAATGATAACTGTTATAGACTCCTGGTAGTGAGAATGTCTCCTTTTGTCTTTTGCAGAATGCAGATAATTCTGTCTGGGAAGCTTCACACAGCCATGGTTTACATCCATGCGTCAAGCCAACTGTGAGATATAAAGGTTAAACTCTATTAGAATAGCTTGTGCCTCTTCTGCTACCTGCAACTTAAACTGGAAATAGTATCTCCATTTCCTTTTGGGGGCACTAACGCTTTTCTATGTTCTATAAAGGAGATACTCATCTGGATTTTCTCAGGATCTCGATTTTCCTGATTTTTCTTTTTTTGGGAGAGGGGGAGTTCATAGTTATTTTGGGAAACAATTTCTTTTCTATCTACTCTTATGGTGCTATCAGTTCATGCATGTGCTGATTCAAAGCTGAAACAGCAGATTTCTCGGTCATAAAAGAAAAATATCATGCCTGTGCTGTTTCCTCTGCTTTCTCTCTCTCTCAATCTCCTTGACCTGTACCACCTCAGGCACAATATGAAATTTCTATGTGCCACAACTTTTTTCCGCTCGAAAGTCTTATGCAGAATTTATCCTTCTTATCCAGCTGCTCTAGGATGGAATCGCTACTTGACTGTTAAAAGTAATGGTGGATTAAATCAAATGAGGACGGGTGTAAGTTCGATCTTTTTTTATTTCTATTTTCCGTTTTCTGTATGTTACATAATCATTCTTGTATTTTTTCCGGATAAGGTAAATAATTTTATTAAAAGAAGGGGAGAACCCCATATACAAGCTGTATACAGAACAAAGAGAACCTACACTGAAATATGGTTCTCGACAAAGGAAACCAAATCATCTATACAAATAGATACCTCATAGGCAGTGGCGGAGGCAGGATCTCCACAAAGAGGGTTCAAAATGTTTTTTTGTAGCTAGTGGGAATTGAACCCATGACCTTATGTAGATTTTGAACCCCCTTGACCACTAAACTACACTTTTGGATTGTGTTAAAGGGGGTTCAAAACTTAATATATAGAGGTAAAAAACAGATTTTGCCTTATATATACAGTGTAATTTTTCGGCGAAGGGGGTTCGGGTACCCCCTTGCGCCCCTCTAAATCCGCCCCTGTTCATAGGTATACCAAAAATAAACTAGAGAAAAAAGACTATTTTGCAACTCTACAACGTCTAGCTCACCCCCTTCAAAATCTGCTATTTCTCTCTTTCCATATCACCCACATAATGTCTAGAGGTGCAAACTTCGACGCCTGGACTTCTCTTCCCATTCTTGTAGACCCAACTGTGCAACACAAAATAATTCTTGTTTTAAACCACAAATTTCAACGGAATAGCTTTTGTTCTATTCGGGCTACGGTTAAACAAGCTAAACATTTTGGATCAGCCCACCTTGGAAATGCTAGTGGACATGTGGTAGCTTGTATATGATTCTGTGCAGATTCCTGGGGTATCATTTAACATATTGACATGATTGAAGATGAGCTATTTAGAAACCTTCAGCTTGGAAATGTGGTTAAAGTCTATTCACAGTTTTGGAGTGAATTATATGTTAGGAAGTAGCATCCATAGATAAAGGGAGAAGAGAAGTTAACAAGAAAAACAGTCTCATACGAAGTTGTGGCAAAATAACTGAATAAATTCTATATTGGTTTTGGGTAAAATAGCTGAATAGAAGATAAGACAAAGCCTGGCATGATTGGTAAGAGAATTTAGTTTTTATTGGAGAAGTACAGCTGGAAAATAATACAAGATTTACTTTTTGGTGAAAGATATAGTCTCAACTGAATTTCTAAGAGCTAGTGTCCAGTAAGCTTCTAAGTTTTGCTAATTTGCTGTTTCGTTGATAAGACGATTATATCATGACTTGTAGAGAGCTGACTCGCGAATCTTTCATGTTGTTGATTGTGGATGTAGTCACATCTCATTATTAATATCATTGTGGTCATGGTCATGCCCATTTTTTAGGCAAATATGTCCAAATATTTGTAAGTTGATGAATTTTTCCCTTCAGTCTTAATGTGTCAATTTGCTTTTCTTCTTCTTTTTACTTACAGATAGCTGACATGGTGGCAGTGGCACACGTAATGAATGCAACTTTGGTAATTCCTCAATTGGACAAGCGATCGTTCTGGCAAGATTCAAGGTCATATTTTGTTCTTTACTGTGTCTCTCACAACTTTACATTGCTTGTCTTTCTTTTAGAAATGTTTTTATACATTGCCTGAGACTGTTTGTGGCCTTTTCTTGTTTCTTCTAGAATGCTGATGAGTGCTTTAATCTCTAGCAATTCTTTTTTATTTTCACTTTATCTAAACATACTTACTCTTGTTTGTTCTAATGGGCTAATGTACAGTACATTTTCAGATATATTTGATGAGAACCATTTCATTGAAACATTACAAGGGGACCTCAGGATTATTAAAGAGCTTCCCAAAGAAATAGAATCATTACCTCGAGCTAGGAAGCACTTTACGTCATGGTCAGGAGTGGGTTACTATGAAGAAATGACACAATTGTGGAAGGAGCATCAGGCATGTAATCTTATTCCTATCACCTTCTTCTTAAAAGTAGATTATCTTAACCTCTCTCTTGCAATGGACCCAAAACAAGAAATTGTTGCTACCTTGTTGCCCTTGCTTGCTGTCAAGGGAAATTGTTAATATTTAAATGGACGACCATGGAACATGATGTTGTTGGCGAAGTTATTATGATAATGTGTTCTCTAGTTGAACTGTATTATATATCTATATGCTCAACATGTTAGTAGTGTTCATGGTGGTCGTAGCGATTCAGTTTTTCTTGTTGTACCATGTAAGATAGTGTCTCTTTTCAAACAACTAATATGATAAATAACCTTCGGTTATCTTATTCAATTCAATGGAAAATAAGGGACATCTTCACCCATTATTAGCAGAAAATAAAAAAAAATTCAAGTGTATTATATCACTGCCAATGCTTGACTCGAGGTGGTCCTAACATATGGATGCATTACTACCAAAAACTTGCGAATATTTATCAGTTCGATTCCTTGTTGTACATGGAAGGCTGTTATTTACCATTGGAATTTATTAGGCAAGAAAAAAATAACTTTCTTTTCGATAGTCAGTTATTAAAGCCCTTCTAAAATTATCAGCTGCTATGAGATGTCAGAGAGATGACATTTAATCCCAAAATTATCAAATCCTGGAGGGGATTTGAGTTGTTGTTTTATTAACCTTATCAGTTTATTATGTTGATATTATCAATATAATCCATAATCAAAGAGTCTCTATTTCCATTTCCTTTTGTTCGGGGGACTTGATCCTAATTTTCTTTTGTCTTCTCTAGCAAATTATATGTCTGAAATTGAAAATTGGCTTATTGCATCTTAATTGCAGGTAATTCATGTTGCTAAATCTGATTCTCGCCTTGCAAACAATGAACTGCCTCTTGATATTCAGAGATTAAGATGTCGTGCTCTATATAATGCTCTCCGCTTCTCTCCTCCTATTGAGAGACTTGGAAAGGTTAGAACAATCATTTGAGAAATTTGCTTACAGTTTTGGACTAGTTGTTCTGGTCACACCAGAAACACTTATTCCTTTCGTTTCAATTTGTATGATAGACTTTTCTTATTACTCCGTTTAAAAAAAAAGCGACACATATATTTGGCAATAATCTAACTTTAAACTTTTAATTTTACCCATTTCACCCTTTATGAGAAGCTTTTATAGCCGCACAAATGTTATGGTCCCACAAGGCTTTTACCCTTTAACCTTCAAGACCACAAGTTTCAAAAATCTTCTTTCCCCCCTTAAAGTCAAATTGCGTCATATAAACTGAAACGGAGGGAGTATGTAGTTTTGCAATCCCCTTTTGGATAGTCACACTACACTGGATCTTTTTGTTGGCTATGGTATTTCCACTAATTTTTTTGGTGTCCAGATCTCCTTGATTAAGAATGGCATTCAAATTATGAAATAAATATGCTGTATATTAGGTGTAGGATTCTCATGCCTGTTTATCCTGGCAAAATGATTAAAAGAAAACAGTTATTCACCCATATTATCCATTAAAAAATGGGTTGGATATTGAACTTTTTAAAAACGGGTCATACATGGATAAGAACCATAATATCCACTTAGAAAATGGATAACCAACGGATAACTAATGGGTTTAACTTATACATTTGTATAGCCTTAAATTGGGGGTTCCTCAATTTTGGGAGACTAGGAATTCTCCAAAAGTGATCATATTCAAGGAGGCATGGATATCCATATGATCCGCCGGTTAACCCGTTTTTTGTCCGTATTAAATCTGGGTCGGGCCAGATATTGTATCCGTTTTTGCATTACCCGTTTTCGACCCGCCCATATCCGACCCGATCCACCCGTTTGCTCCCCCTAAATACAAGTTTATCTACATCCTTTTATGTTTTGGATCTCATTTGTAAGGTCTCCAACTAGAATTCCTCATTAATTAGGGTTTGGTAATACATATGATGAAACTACAGAAGCTTGTGAACCGGCTCCGAACAAGAGCAAGTAGATATGTTGCACTCCATTTGAGATATGAGAAGGACATGCTATCTTTTACTGGCTGTACGTACGGTCTTACTGATGCAGAAGCGGAGGAGCTTCGCGTGATGAGGTTATCTATAACTCTCTCATTATCACTATCATATTTTGTCGTGATTTTCCTATAATATATGCCTTAAATTAAGTTCATTGTATTAATGATTATCTGCATGAAGGACATGCTATCTATAAAAAAAAAGTTCATTGTATTAATGATTATCTATAACTCTCTCATTTGAGATATGAGAAGGACATGCTATCTTTTACTGGCTGTACGTACGGTCTTACTGATGCAGAAGCGGAGGAGCTTCGCGTGATGAGGTTATCTGTAACTCTTTATTTTTATTTGTATAAGGGAGGTTATCTATAACTCTCTCATTATCACTATCATATTTTGTCGTGATTTTCCTATAATATATGCCTTAAATTAAGTTCATTGTATTAATGATTATTTGCATGAAGGAGGGCAAGTTCCTTGATCACAATCATGGCTTGTAGGTTATTTAGGAGCGGCAAGTTCCTTGATCACAAGTTTATACATACAGGTTGCGAAAGAATCCGAGCATCCAACCCAAAATCTTAAGGCAATGGATGGAGTGGCCTAAGGCTTTATAAACCCCTTTGGAAACTCTTACATAACAGATGAGGGCAAGTGTATTCTTTAACACCTTCCTGCATGTGTAACCCCGTTGTTGCGTTTAACCGTGCACTGAATTTTGTCCCTTTTTTTTAAGAAGATTTAAGAGTGGACCTAATGTATAGAGAGAGAGATTAGGCTCAACAGTCTAAAGAGTGGGCTGGAACTAAGAGGATAGTAGGCTCAGCAGGCTAAGAAGTGGGCCGAGCAAAGTTTGTAGCTCAATGGGCTGAATAAAGAGAGAGAAGCACAGCGCAACTCCATAGGTTGAGTTGAGGGAGAGAAGCCCAGAGCAATAAACTAGAAGAGAGAATGCGGTTATGCAAACGGGCTCACCAAAGTTTTGCTATGATACCATGTAAAGAAATCGACCTTGGGCCTGACTCAATCTAAAAAGCTAGCTCATGAGGTAGGATTGCCGAAAACCTTATAAGGAGACAAACAACCTATACTTCCACCAATATGAGACACTTAAAACCCCACACACCTAAGCCTGCCAATTGGAGCGTGGACAACATAATATGGGGGTCCAACATTGAGAGACACAATAACTGGAGTGAGTTTGGCGCCGATATTAAGTTGAAATGTGTGACCATCTCGTCTAAAAACTTAAGCTTTTAGAGAGATCACACTTTTAATTTACTTAAATATGTCTTCAACACATCCCCTAACGTGCGGGCCTGATTCTTTTTCATAGTGCAAGCACGTAAAAATTCTTTTCAATAATGGGTGGCGGTAAAATTTGTTGCCTCTCTGGTACTATTTTGAAAGAATCTGGGCATCCAACCAAAAACCTTACGTCAATGAGTGAAGTGGCCTAGGACTTTATGTTTCGTTTGGAAATCCTTACACAACCACGAGGACAAGTGTATTCTCTAACACAGGATATTTAGAGCCTTCAGATTGAATTGTGAAATTTCAGAAGCTCTTCTTCTGTACAACTTACTCATACACAGGCTCTGTGAGACACATACTATACTATGCATGTCAAAATGTCATCTATGTATTTTATTTAACATCAAAGCAACTGCTCCAATTCATCTGGTTTCATGGTTTCTTGTAAGAGGGCGGACTCTGCTTAGATCTTTTCCCTTTTCTTCAGTTGTAGGCTTGTAGCAATGATCTTTAGAATGACAACCAATGTGTTATGTAATATCTAATGTTACTCATCTATGACTAGAGAGAATACAAATCATTGGAAGATTAAGGTTATCAACTCAACTGAACAGAGAATTGATGGTTTCTGCCCTCTCACTCCGAAGGAGGTTGGATTATTTCTTCAGGCTCTTGGTTATCCTCCGTCAACATTGATTTATATTGCTGCTGGAGAAATTTATGGTGGTAACACTCACCTCTCAGAGCTCACATCTCACTTTCCTAATGTTATTTTCAAGGTTTGTTCCTGCACCTTATCATTCTGTCAGTCATGCAGCTCGAAGTTAATTTCTTTCACAAATAGTGTATTCTACCTANTCTCAAATAGTGTATTCTACCTTCCAAACCAAATGTCTTACTGATGGCAGGAAATGCTGGCAACGCCAGAAGAACTGAGAGGGTTTGCCAATCATGCCTCACAAACTGCAGCACTCGATTATCTCATCTCTGTAGAGAGTGATGTTTTCATTCCATCACACTCAGGTAATATGGCAAGAGCAGTTGAGGGGCACCGCAGATTCTTAGGCCACCAAAAAACAATCACTCCTGACAGGTACTCAAGTAATTAATGAAATTTTGCTGTTGCTTTTGGTTGGTATAGAGTTTCAGTTCGTGTGGTTTGCAAGTGATTTTTTTGTTTGATTTTATCAATTTTAGAAGGGTGATTTTTCAAGTTTTCTTTTAGCACTGCTAAGCTTGGAATTTTTCTTTATTGAGGTGTTACCAGTGCCTTCATTTAGGGCACAAATCAACCATTCTTTTTTATTTAAATGCTTCACAAAGAGGCTATGAGTACATGGGATAGAAATAGTTGAAAAATTCACCTACAAATCAGGGAGTGCTATGGTAACATGAAAGTTCATCTTGACTGGCATGTTGGAGGTGCTATTGGGGAACAGCTTAGCATTCTTATAGGGAAGAGTCATATAGAAGTCCTTAAAACTTTGAAATTGCGCTTGTTGGATTAAGTTTTGTGGCCTTGGACTCTTCATCTACATATTTAAAGCAACGTAATTGCTAAATTATGCAGGAAAGGCTTAGTTGAAATATTTGATAACCTGGAAGCTGGTCAGCTTGAAGGACCATCATTTTCACATCTTGTCAAGCATTTGCATAAGAACAGGTGATAATACATACGCAATGGATACTCACATTATCGCTTGCACTTGTTCATGTAATTGTTTCTGTCGAAAGTTTTTTCTCTCTGTTTCTGTTACTTGGATGCAACCATGGGCCCTGGGAGTAATAACTTCAGGAATTGAACCAAGGGACTTTACTCTGGCATTGGCTGCTACTAGATTCCTGGTTAAAGAATAATTTTATGTTGGGAGATATATAACCTCCCACATCGATTGTGCAAGAGCTTCTAAGGGGTTCATAATGGTCAAAACTCAGATTCTTTTACATAATATGAGCACCAAAATTTGGTAAGCTCGTTCTCTCACGTATAGGTCCAAGAAAACTTAGATTTTTTTCACATTGTATGAGCACCAAAATTTGTTAAGTTCGTTATCTCACGTATAGCTCCTCTCTCATAATCATTTTCTTTGCACTCTGACCAGTTGTTTATTGTTCTCTTTATTTTATTGCTTTGGACTTCTTTCTCAACGCAATCGATCAAGCTACTAACTCCTGCTTTATGTCAGCATCTCAGTCCGTTGAGCTTGTTCTCTCTCTCTCTCTCTCTCTCTCTCTCTCTGTTTCAGACCCCCTTTCTTAGATTCTTGAGCTTATCGCTCATCTCAAGTCCACTCTTTTTCCTGTTGAACCTCTGTGAGCTCCTTAAAATATAGTTGAGACTCGAGAGAAAACAGGAAAAGAAAAAAACAAGAAAAGCCAAAAAATAAATTATCTTCAGTACACGTCTAAACCCGTAAATCTGGGTTATACATGCAAGATGATGTTACAGATAAATACCATCCCATGTCAGTTTTAGATGGTTTTTCCAAGGGATTTGTAACGGTTTGGGATTATTTCACCCATTGTTGTAAGATTTTGGGTTTGATACTATATTCTTTCACATTTTAATCCTACCACGTGCTCTTCACATTCTGGTATTAGATATTAGATCATTCTGATTCAAGCAGCAGAAATCTTAATTTAAAGCTGGAATCTTGTCAAAGTATTTCCAAAGAAAAACGTTTCAACTAATCATTTCAAAAACTTCTTGATTTAAAAGCTTTTCAACCTGTTTCCAGGAAACTTATGTACCTAGTAAACAACAACCGGTTGTAAACTGTTTTGGAGGGAATTGTAAAGCCTTCAACAATTACAACCATGTTAAAGTTTGCTTGATAACTGATAAATTCCTGACTTATAATTAATACATTACACATATTGCAACTTATAGGCAAGGCGCTCCAAGAAAAAGAGCTGGTGCTCCCCCGGGAGTCAAAGGTCGAGCAAGACTAATCATTTCAAAAACTTCTTGATTTAAAGGCTTTTCAACCTGTTTCCAGGAAACTTATGTACCTAGTAAACAACAACCGGTTGTAAACTGTTTTGGAGGGAATTGTAAAGCCTTCAACAATTACAACCATGTTAAAGTTTGCTTGATAACTGATAAATTCCTGACTTATAATTAATAAATTACACATATTGCAATTTATAGGCAAGGCGCTCCAAGAAAAAGAGCTGGTGCTCCCCCGGGAGTCAAAGGTCGAGCAAGATCAAGACTGGAAGAGCCATTTTACCAAAATCCATATCCGGAGTGTATATGCAGTTCTAGAACCAGAGTGAGAAAATAAAGGGGTTACTTCTTGTCTGCTTCCAGCCAGCAGGTCTCTCTTGTTCTCAGTCATCTAAATGCCTGAAATCATATATTTTCAACCATCTTATTCAACTTCAGTTTCTCTGTTCCTGATTATTTGTTGGCCATTTTAGCTATGGTGGTAACTAAGCTTTCAATTTTTGTACATTAGACTAGTGATTAAGTATCTTGGTACATATGCAATATGGCCTTTTCTTGTCCATCTCTCACACTCCTCAATCCCTCTTACACCAATTTTTTTTCCAGTATTTATCTTTGTAAACAAATAATGATATATTGGAATCAGGAGCAAAAAATGTTTAATCTCTTAGTAAATTGCCTCTGGGGGTACCTAAATCTTCAAAATAATCTCTTCTTCCTAGTTTAATCCATATTCTCCTTAGTTTATTTGTCCAACTAAATGTTAGACAATGACACGATCTTTTCCAACAATGAGAATGAACATTCTGTTTCTAATGGATTAAACATGAATTTCATAACAATCATAAGAAAAAAGAAAATCTTTAAAATATAGTTTAGGCCATCTTATTCTTCTAGTTTATTACATATAATAACACTTGTATTTACCCTACCAAATATTAGACAACTGCAGAATCATATTGGAGAATGAGAACAAGCATTCTCTTTCCAATAGTATAAGTTCAGCAATGTGATTTACAATCTTCAGACTCTAAATTGTACAAGATTAGGGTTTATTTCTTCAGGTATCGATCGTTGAGGCGGGAACTTGGGAAGGAGGCCAGCAATGCGCTTGGCTGTCTCAAGGTACTTTACATACCTGCAAATTAGGCCTTCTTTTGTGATGCCTTCTCCATGGTTGTTGTCTTTTGTGTTGTGGCAATCTAGGTTCAATCCCTTCATTGGCGAGCCACAAAAATGGCAATTTTGATCTTTCTCATCTTTCTCAATGAGTGCCTCCTCGAAAGCCTTTTTGTTGAAAGTCCAAGCACCACTCTTCCAGTTGAAATTGTAAATTGGAAGGTACCTCTGTCCATAAATGGCTATGAATTCTATTGCTGCTATAATGAACTCAAATTCTTCCTTGGACATGTAGTAGGGAAAACTGACCCTTGTCCATCCCGGCTTCACTCCAGTATAGCCCTGTTAAATGTCAAATAAATACTGAATGTCTAAACCTTGAAATTCAATTATAGTGTACCCAACAATCTATTAACCAAATATGCCCTCCATATAGAGATGGCATGTAGAAAACTTAGTGAACTACCTAAGATACATTTGTGTAAAGTGTAGGCTCACCAATTCGATTGCAGCTTTAAAGGCAAGCGACTGAGGCTCATCAATCTTGATTAAGGTATGTCCATAGGGTCCTGCACAAGCACACCCTCCTCTAGCCTGGATACCAAATAGGTCATTAAGCAGTTTAGCGACAAAACGGCCGTGAAGAGGCTTATCTTTCTTGTTTCCCGTCTCTCTCCATAGGTAAAGCTTGTTGTTTTCACCACTGTTATCACTTGATGAAGAGTAAGTTGTGGTATAAATGAGAAAAGAAAGCACAGCTTGTCTCTTCGCTGTTACATTTCCCAAAACCCATATATTAGGGTTCAGGAGAAGCCTTTCTAGTGCAAGTTGAATATAGCCGTGCTCCATTCTTTCGATTACTTTGTGACTTATGAACTCTTTCACCCAAAATGCTAGAGCTGTTCTCACTTTCTGGATGATTGGTGGTGTTCCAGCCTCCTCCCTTTCTTCAATGTTCTCCACATAGATTGTATCCTGGTAATTGTACCATAAAAATCAAGTAACTATCCTTAGAGCTGAGCTGAAAAGAGACGAAAATAAACAGAAAAGCTAAACATTTTCTGAAGAAAAACAGTTAGATGTGTCAATTAGTTATATAATTTATCTTCTCCAGTATTTTTTATTGTAACCAGAGAAAAGTTTAGTCTGGTTTACATAATCTAGTTTGATATTTATAGTTTTTGTTCTTTAAAGATTCGGGATGATATGGTGTTGCCCCATGCAGAGTGCCTTTTTGTAACTAAGAGAAAGAAAGCAAAAGCAGCCCTCAGGGCTTTGGCCTAGTGGGTATGGCTTTGGCCTAGTGGGTAAAGAGTGCAATGCGTGACGTATGGGTTAGGCGCATGTTACGGGTTCGAACCCTGCCGCATACCAAGTCTTTTATTTAAGTGGAGAAGGGTGTAAAAATAGCATGTGTTGACCACTTTTTGGGCGCATGTGAAACTATAGAATACTGTCCTGAAGTTCAGTTTTTGCAACTTAAATCTCCAGGACAGTGTCCTCAAAATTTCTCCAGAATACTTTCTGACTGCATCGATAAAAAGCAATGGCACCAAGCGCTTCAGGGCCTTCCCAACAACGACTTTCATTTAATTCTTTTTTGCTGCTCAATATTTACATAAAGATCCATGGTTTGTTCCCTTTCTTTTTCTCTTTTTAGTTTTGGGTGTCTAGTGAAGTATATTATGCTGAAACAATTATCAACTCTGACAAATGAGAATGCACCCATTTGAGTATTTCACCTGCAGCCACTTATTTGGTTTTGTCATCCCAGCTTCTTTTGCTCATTTCATTTAGCTTCCGTTTCAGTGCTATCTGCAGCTTAGCATCTTAGTCTAAAGCAACTCTGATGGACTGAGGAAAGCTTGTTCTTCAGCTTCAAAAGTTTCCTTGAGTTTTAATTTACAAAACTGAACTCTAGGATAATGTCCCTTTGTAGCTTGTTCTTCAGTTTCAAACTCCAGCGCTATGTCCTGGAGTTTTAAGATACAAAACCTGAACTCCTGGACAGTGTCCTGAAGTTCAAAAAAAGCGAAAAGATGAAGAGGCGAGTCTCTGCTGCTTTAAGTTGGGTGTAATTATTGTTCCAAATATCATTTTCCCAATGAAAATGGCTAAATTTCGGCTAGTTTTGGAAATGTGGCTTATTTTCAAATAGCAGTTGTAAAAGTGGCTATTTGTGAGTAATTATGGGGGGAAGGTAGTTTTATAGCGCTATTTAAGGCGTATCCGCTTATAAAAAGACATACCTTTTCATAAAAGGGGTTGACAAAATCAACAGTTCCACCACCACAAGTTGATGGAGGTGAAGTTCTCAACCGATAGAGTGCCTTGTTCATTAAAAGGATTCCCGGTGTCCCTGGCCCTCCAAGAAACTTGTGGGGACTAAGGAAAACAGCATCATAGCCATCTGTTTCTCCTGATCTCATGTCTATTTTTGCATAAGGGGCACTGCATGATGAGAACAAATGGTTAAAGAATATATACCCAAAACTAAAAAAAAGTGGAAATAGGACAACAAATAGGTTTTAAGTTGCATACAGTAAACCAGAAATGTAGTTTAACCTATGATAGCAGGTGGATTTACATCTTACAACTAACACAGTTCTCTATTCGTGGATCAGAAGCAATTTGTTTAGCCTTACAACAGTCCCAAGATATGATTTCTAATACATCTCTGGAGCAAGCTCGAACACATTGAGATCTTGCTGGAATTGCTACATATAAAATTGAGCATAGTTTTGCAAAGAAATAGCCTACTTGTTTTTCCAGAAGATATGGGAAGCATGCTTAATATCATTGAATGATTGTCCCTACCGCTGGTTGTTTGAAGAAACCCTCTACTTCAATTGGTATTCGATTTTCTTTAATCAGGTTACGAAGTAATATTTTATCATAAAGATTTAATTATAGTTACGTTATAAGGGGTTAGTTCTATACACTGACGGTGTTACATACCTTGTGGCGAAATCAAAGCAAGCATAAGCTCCATTTTTGTGAAGAAGACGAGCGATGGCTCTCGTATCAGAGTAAGTTCCAGTGACATTACTACAGGCTGAGAATGAACCCAACAATGGCCTATTCGTAGACTTATAGAACTCAAGCTGAGCTCTCAAAGCTTCAATATCCGCAAGACCGTTTTCATCCAAACCAATCTCCACAACTTCTGCTAAACTTTGTCTCCATGAAAGGATGTTGGAGTGATGCTCATAAGGTCCAACAAAGACCACCCATCTCTCTTTTGTTTCATTTCGGAAGCATTTTGTGAGGACTTTTTCTCTTAGGATTGAAGGGACTGATATCCCCATGACTTCTTGGAGCCTTTTAATGGCTGCAGTTGAACCAGAACCACAAAATATGATAGCATCTTCTTCTCCTCCCCCTAAGCATTTCTTCGCGTAGGCTGCTGCTTCATTCACTATTTTCGTGGTTTGGTATCCCACATAACTGTCACTGGTATGACTGTTACCTTTACAAAATAAAATCAAGAAGGTAAATTACACTACTGACTGTAAAAATTTTGGGGTATATATAGAAAGAACTAAAGGAAACTTACCATAAAAAGGAAGGACGTTGTCAGTGATGTAATTTTCAATATAGCGAAGGCATCTTCCAGAGGCAGTGTGATCAGCATAAGTAAGCCTACGTTTCCCAAAGGGTGTCTCAAAATCGATATTTTCACCAATGATCTGAGAACGCAGCCATGAAAGTTTCTTTTCTGCAGAGTCACTCTTGGAAGCACCATCCTTCCCTAGCATATGAAATGACTCAATTCTACTCCTCAACTCCTCTCGAGAAGCAACAGACGAAGAACTAGTACTAGAATATTTAAATGGTATAACGTCAGATATATTTTTACACTATCAGGTCATTCAAAACTATCTACAAGTTATGATTCATAATTTATAATGCTGAAAATAAGGCAGATCATCTGCTGCTATAAATAAAAGTGACATGATAATGTAAAAATTCTTTATACTATAGTGAGTATTAATTTAACTCTTTTGAAATGAATTTTTAGTAAAAGATTTTAACTTGTATAGACGGAGAGTAAAAAAAATTCATACTACCTGTTTACCCAAATAGTAGACCAATACTACCTTTGTAGATTCAAGTACGAAACATTTGAGTTTTGACCATGTGTTGCTTAACAATAAAGATATTATACCTTACAACACTCTTCGTGTAATTTTAGAATATGTGAAATTTTAATTTAAAACAGTTATTTAATATAGTTTTACATAGCTGCGAAAATTAATCTTCTTAAGCAATAATGTTCTTTTATCTATTACTCGTATTTCACCTTTTATCGATAAAATTTCAAGAATTAAATCTAACATGAGAGTGATCCAAAAGTTAAACTATATATATGTCTACATCTTAAAATGCTATTTAATTACTATTTTAAAACAATCTAAGTATTATATATAGGACTACAAATCTATAACAAGTTTGGAATATGTTAAAAGTACGTAAATCTTGCTTCCTAAGTTTAGACCACTTACACTTCGGGGTTGCTCAATTGGTTCGGAGGGATAACCTGAGATCGAATCTCCCCTCAATGCCTTTTGGTTGAGCCTGTCGCACAGGGCTTGCCTAGTGCGGTTTATATTCTCTGTGTGGTTTGCAGGCATATTACACATGGGGAGGTTTACCAAGTGCGCACAAAGTACTCACCATCACCCGAAGGGCAAAGGCTGTGACAGAAGTTGTAGCGAATGCGGGTTTCCCTCTTAAAAAAAGTTTAGACCACTTGAATTCGTATTGTACCCATTGATTAATGCGAAACTATAGGAACAATTACGTCCATTTTCCTTTTCATGGGCCACTCACCCCATCTCTACTCAACTTTCCCTTTATAACTAAAAGACAATGAATTATATTCTTGAAAGGGAAAGAAACAAAAGAATTACAGTACTTACTTTTGATCTGGTGGCTGTACTTTGTATTAATACTTCGCCAATGATAAAAAAGGCACTTAATCTTTGAATTGACCACTCTTGTTAGAGTGATCAAAATCTAACTCTGATATATCAAGAACTCTAAGAGCAGCCTTTCTATTAGAAACGAACTGAATTTTCAATTGAGAAAAAGGGGAAATTGCAGCTTCAACATCTTGCCGTGAACACAGAGAAGAAAAACTATATATATTGAGATTTTAGGCATGGACACCTTTTTTTCTTCTTTTAATAATTGAAATTAATATGTGGGGTCCATCCATTGTAGAGCAAAATAAATATGGCATGTGCCTATGATTTTTGCTGATCAAGTTCTGTGGACAAAATTCATCTTTGTTGGCCAAGGCATGGAATATGTGGTTGGAGGCCACGACTGCTATAAATATAGGAGGTTTCTCTTCAGTTGATACATTAGATGATTAGAAACAAGAGCGAGAATATTACAGATACCGTAAAAGGAAAGTCTTAGATAACAAATAAAGAGTGTGAGCTATATTATAGTGATGCGAGAAAATTAAAAGAAAGTTTTTTCTTTTAAGTGTGTAGTGATTTTTAAGTATTTTACTTAGTACTACTAAGTATAATTTTTTTTAAACATGTAGTAGTCTTTTAAGTATTTTACTTACTACTATTTAGTATAAATGTTTTTACGATAGTGAATGACTTTTCTCCCGATCGGTTGATGATTTTTTTCCCAAGGCAAAAGGAGTTTTCATATTAAAATCTTGGTGTTTTTTTTTGTGTGTGAGTACAATTTAATTTATCCTCTTAATTTTTAAGGGTTAAAAAACTATACACCTCTTAACCTTTTGAATGGGAACGACAACTCCTTCATACTCAAAAGTCATTATCAGTAAAAATATAAAGTCAGAACAATCCCTCTTTGTGGAGGGAATATTTTTGGCACTATGAAATGTCTTTGCGCTATATTCCTGGTAAAATTTTATTTGCATAAATCATAGTCATTCACTTTTAACTTTTAAGTGAAAGCTTGGCTGACTAGTATAGGAATTTGAGAAAAACCTAATTTGCATGGTCATAATATTTTTGTAATATATTCATTGAGTTATTGAGTTTATTCCAATATGTTCATTATTTTCCTTTACAATTGAAGTTCTTTTGTACTTATATTTATTTAATGCAAGAGAATGAAAAGTATTCCAGTATGTTCATTGTCTGTTAGGTGGTAGTTTATAGAATGGTCTAAAGCCATTTAGCCTGTACGTAGGGGCAGGTACGAGATATAAATGCGAGGAACAAAGAGATGGGTTTGCATTTTTAGAAGATTTTTGTGATTTAAATTTTAAAGTGTAAGCTTAGGTGTTCAAAGAGAGAAGGACATGATATATGCTTGAAGTATTGTGGGATTTAATCTGAGGAGTTTCGTTCCTTCTGGGACATGGGAACAAGACAAGTGCCCTTGCTACAGGGACAATAACAACACTAAGGGTCATTTGGTTGAGAAACGAGTTATGTCTGGATTAGTTATTCCGAGATTGTTATAGACAAAATTATAAAATAATGCATTCCATAAGTTGACGTTGAAAACCAAAGAAAACTTATACATAGAGAAGAAATATGAAGGAGGAACTCGATGATTTTATTGAAACAAATATGACTATATATAGCCTTACATAACCGACGTCTAAAGCTAAAACTATGTTTCCTAGAGTCTAACAAGTTCTGATGACGTGACGAACTCGATAAACAAAGAACTCTAATAACATTAGGAAGCTAAACAATAAAAGATTCCTCCCTTAAATTGAATGCTATGAGCACTCAGTTTATCTTAGACTTAAAACAAACTCTCAACAATTCTCGCAACTTCAAGAAGACATCCAACCTGAGGGGTTTAGTCATCACATCAGCTAATTGTTCCTTTGTACCGCAGTAAACCAGTTCCATAGTGCCATCTTTTGTGAGTTCTCGCAGGAAGTGAAAACGCACATCTATGTGCTTGCTGCGACCATGCATAACTGGATTTTTTGAAAATTTAATTACAGAACTATTATCATAGTGAATAATAGATGTCTTGCCTTGATTGGGATGCACTTTTCTAATACCCTCTTCAACCAAACAGCTTGGCATGCATATGAAGCAGCATCTATAAATTCTGCTTCTGTAGTAGATAAACTCACTACTGGTTGTTTCTTTGAAGACCAAGATACTGCCCCTGAGCTCAATAAAAACACATAGCCATATGTGATTTTCAATCTTACAAATCGCCAGCATAATCGCTATCAGTGTAACCAACAAGTTCATCATCTCCTCCCTTCCTGTAAAATATGCCAAACTCAACAGTCTCCTTTAAATACCTTAACACCCCTTTTGCCGTCTGTAAATGAAGTTCAGTGGGATTCTCCATATATCTGCTAATAAGGCTCACCGCAAATATCATATCCGGTCGAGTTGCCGTGAGATACATGAGACTACCTATAATTTGCTTATAATAAGTCTTATCCACCTTGATCCCGTCCGCATCTTTCATAAGTTTAAAGCCAGGAACAATTGGATTATGGACAAAATTGCTTTTATCCATCCCAAACTTTTGCAGTACCTCCAATGCATATTTCTTTTGAGTGATAAAAATTCCATCTGATCTTTGATAAACTTCCAAACCAAGGAAATATCTCATTCTTCCAAGGTCTGTCATGTCAAACTCATGCTTCATGGAACCTTTAAATTCTGCAAACATTAACTCATCATTGCCAGTAAATATAAGATAATCAACATATAAACTTACAATTAATATTTTGCTATCTTTACTTGTCTTGATGAACAATGTATGCCCGTAGTTACACTTTTCAAAACCTTCCTTCATGAAATAAGCTTCTATGCGGCAGTATCAAGCTCGCGGCGCTTGCTTAAGCCCACAAAGTGCCTTTTTTAACTTATATACTTTCTGTTCATTTCTCCTTTGCACATAACCACAAGGTTGTTTCACAAAAATATTTTCATGCAATTCTCCGTGTAAAAATGCCACTACTAAAATTCGGCCAAAAAGCGACCAAATATTGGCGACCAAATTTGGTCTGTTAAGAAAAGCGACCAAAGTTGGTCGCGAAACTACCGAAAATAATAAAAAAAATATTTGAAATAATTGCGACCATAGTTGGTCGCTATTTGGACGCAAATTTAGTCAAACTGTTGACTGGATTGGTCAGACTTGCTTGGTCAAAGATACAATGAGTTTAGCGACCAATGTTGGTCGCAAAAGTGGGACCCACACAATTTTTTTAATAATTTTATTATTATTTTATAAAACTTATAAAATATAAATATATATAATTTAAAACTTGCGACCAAAGTTGGTCGCTAACTGAAGGATAAGAAGATAACGACCAACTTTGGTCGCTAAAGTGGGACCCAGTTATAATATTTTAATAAATATATATTTATGTAAAAATTTTATAAAATATAAATAAATATAATTCAAAATTTAGCGGCCAAAGTTGGTCGCCAATGTGGGACCCTGTTCTAACGTTTAATAATTTTTATTATTAATTTAAATATTATATAAAATATAAATAAATCTGATTAAATTTTAGTGACCAAATTTGGTCTCTAATTTAAATTCATGTACATTTAGTGACCAACTTTGGTCGCTAAATTAAATTCATTTAAAGTTAGCGACCAAAGTTGGTCTCTATATGGTCAAATTTAAAAATCACTTTTGTGTTTACTATGTAAATAATATAAATGTAAGTCGTTAATAATTTTGTAATACAAGGGATGAATAGTACTAAAAAGTGGGCGTGTGTGTCTATATATACAATATATGTACTTACGCTATACTATGCACTAAGTATA